GAACTAAACAATTTCAGCTGACACACATTTCCTCATTCTCACTGCAGGGGGTGAATTCAGCAGTGATGGGACTTTGGTAGCAGTACTCCTTCCCCTATTACTATCAATTATTGGGTGGGCTGAGAGAGAACCCACCTTCCAAAGGCTGCCTCGCCTGACTGAAGTCTATCAATCTTAGAGACTTTTGTGAATGAATGCAGGGACGCCTCGCCAAGTTGCTGCCCTGAAAATTTGTTCATCTGGTGTAGTGGACCTACCCCACTCTCCTCATTTTGAACAGAGGAATTTTCCCCTTGGCTTTATATGCCTCTAAAATTCCTCACCTAATGTATCTTGATATGGAGGCCCTGGAGGCTTTCTGTCCCTTAACTCTGTGGTGTATTAGAACAAATCAAGCAGATGTTTTTCTGAAGGTCTTTGTTCTAATATAGATATAAGTTGCCCTCCTGACGTCTAAGGTGTGCCAGACCCTTTCTTTCAGATGGACTGGATTTGGGCAAAAGAAGGGGAGCAAGATCTCCCGGGACCAGGGAAAAAAAGAATTTATCTTAGGGGTGAATGATGGGTCTATCATTATGGAAAATACAATTCTGAGGGAGGACAGAGAAGGCTCCCAACTCTGAGACCCTTCATGCGGATATTCTAACCACTAGAAAAATAACTTTAAATGTCACAAAACGCACACACTTTGGACAGGGGTTCGAAAAGTGAACTTGAGAAGGTATTCAATACTAGGAAAAGATCCCATGGGGCTACCGTATGAATAGGAGATGGTCTGATTAGTTCTGAGGAATTTTTTGATGTGAGGGTGACGGGATAAGGGAGATCGACCCTCAGCTGCCAGAATTGAATATAAAGAACTGACGTGTGCGTTCTAAGTGTGTTGTCCTGCAATCCCAGAGATAGACCTGTTCGTAAGAATTCTAGGACCAATTTGATTGAAATTGATCCTGCCATATATCCTCTTGATGTGCACGAGGAATCAAATCTTCTCCATAATACTGTATGAGAATTGTTAAAAACATTTATGGACTTCAGTAGGGTTGAGATCACATCCTTTGAGTATCCTAGGTTATATCTCAATATCAAGGCGTTCAGGGATGCCAGGCTGTGATGAAACAGACAGCCCTGAGATAAAGTGGATCATAGTGGGGGGGGAGGGGGCAGACAGCTCCACAAAGTCTGAAAATCAGGGATGTCTGGGCCAGTGTGGTGCAATCAGAATCACTGTAGCCTGTTGTCTCTGTATATGTTGGATGGTGTTATCATAGGAAAAGGAAGAAATTCATATAGCAAACCCTTAGGCCATACCTGTGATTCCCTGGCCCAATGGTCTCTCCTCTTGGCATAAAAGTTATTTGTTTTGGCATTGGAGCTGGATGTAAAGAGATCGCATGTTGATTTCCCAAAAAACTAGATGATGCAATTGAACTCCCTCTGGTGGAGACACTGTTCCCACTGGTCTGTGATTTTGCAGCTGAGCCAGTCTGCCATAGCATTGTTCTTTGACATGCATGGCTCAGACTGACAGGATGTCTCTCTCAGCCCACCTGAAGGCAGCTGTGGCTTCTGCTTGTAACAAGCTTGACCAGGTGCCCCTTTGTTTGTCTTTGTATGCCACGGCAGTAGTGTTCTCTGTGAATTCAAGTATGCATCTGGAGTTTAAAGGTAGGGAGGAGTGCCTGAAGGGCTAGGCTAGGCAAATCACTCACAGTTCCTAACAGTTTATACAGCAGTGAGATTCCATCTGCAACCACTGAAATTGAACCATGTGCCAAGTTACGTGAGCTTCCCAGCCCTCCTAAGCTAGCATCCGTCTTCATGGTATGTCTCTGCGATATCAAATGAATATTGCTCATGAATCTTGCCAGAGGTCATCGCCATCCAAAGAAGGGAAGTCTTACAGCGAGAGATGGAATTGTGATTGCAAGCAGGGAAGCTCAGCAGGTAGTACTGCAGACACGGGAGATGAAACTTTGCCCATGTGAGTAGTTATATGCATGAAACTAACACGTCTAAATACACAGTCAGTCCTTCATATTGGAATGTGGACTGTGAAGGATATTGCTGCAGAATTCATGCCTGCCTGTCTCTGGAAAGGAAAGCCCTGTGGAGCATGGTTTGCAGCCAAACCCCCAGATGTCCTATTGTCTGTGTAGGGCTGAGCTGTCTTTTCTCCTGATTGATTATAAACCTAGGTTGCAGCCTTGGGGGGGGGGGGGAGGGGGGGGGAGGGGAAGAGACACGGACGGACTGTCCATTGTCTGTTCCTGACTGACTTCCATAGGGAGGGAATTTATCAGGATGTTTTGTGAAAAGGGTACAGGTGTACCCCTTTCTAACACTGGAATGTCACTATTACTACCAGGACCTTTGTGAATAGCCTAGGGGTAGTGGCAATGCCAAAAGGGCTTCATACTGCGTGTGCCAAGTGCAAACCTCCGGTACAGTCTGTGGACCAGAAGGATGGGAATGTGGAGATGTTCCTCCCTCAGGTCCACTGAGATTAGGAAACCCCCCTGGGTGATAGCTACCACGGTGGTCTGAGTGGTCTCCATTTTTAACTTGGGGGAGTGGATTGATTTATTGAGTCTTGAAATCCAGCACCACCCTGTCCTCCCAATTTTTTGTGAATTAGAAAAACCCAGGGAGCAAAAACCCTGATATCATTCCTGGTTTAGGATAGGCTCTACTGCCCTGATTTGAAGAGGATTGATTTGCCTGAACATGGTCTTCCTCTTGGAGGGGCTGAGGGAGAAAGAGAAAATTTGAAGTAGGGATCCTTTTGAATTCTGTGGCGGACCCTTTGGAAATGTCTCACCCATTTGTCTGTGGTAGTCACTGTTTATCATCTGTCATTTTAGATTGGTAAAGCAGACACCACTTCAAATTATGTCCCTTTTACTATATACAAGTGGAATTTAATTTAATTTTAGACTATAGCCAGAACACTAAAATTGTTATTCTATTTTCAAACTTTTGTAGACAAGACCCAAGACAATTTGCAATTGCCCAGTAAGCAATCCTGGAGTCTAGTTAAATGTAGTAATATATCTACAATGTGAGATTTAATACTCCAACACTGAAATGGAGGGATTTTTTGGAAGGTGGTGGTATTTGGTTTTCTTCACTCATTCAAAGGTCCACCATCAAAGCCTAGCCACCTTCAGAGCCTGTCAATAGCACTTCATGCAAGAGCTAAAGAGCAGTAGGACATGTTTCTTCCTTATTTCGTAAGTGGCATCATTATTGGGGGTTATAGTGATTCATATTCAGTTTGCAATCCAACAATGTTATGCAGTTATTAAAAAGACTATCATCATTCTAGGGTGTATTTACTGGAGTGTCATATGTAAGACATGGGAGGTAACTGTCCCGCTCTGCTCAGCACTGGTGAGGCCTCAGCTGTCCAATTCTGGGCACCACACTTTAGGAAAGATGGACAAATTGGAGAGTCCAGAGAAGAGTAACAAAAATTACAAAATGTTTAGGAAACCTGACCTAGGAAGAAAGGTTAAACAAACTGGGCATGTTTAGTCTTGAGAAAGAAGACGGGAGGGGGGACCTGATAACAGGGGTTAAGGCAGGGGTAAGTCAATAGGTGGACCGTGGGCCAAATCCAGACTGCCAGACGCTTTTGAATGAACAGCAAAATCTTTTTACTTACCTATTATCACTATTGTTATTGTGGTGTGAAAAATGTTTCTCCAGAGTCTGGACCTTGACTATATCTTGACCAAGAGATTTGGACCTTAACAAAAAAATAATTGACCACCCCTGTGTTTACAAAGACAAGGGTGGTCAACTGTAGAACACATAGTAATGGTCTTACTCTGCAGCAAGGAAGATTTGTGTTAGATATTACAGAAAACTTTAACTATAAGGGTACTAGAGATTTGGAATAGGCTTCCAAGGACAGTGTGGAATCCCTATCACTGGAGGTTTTTGAGAACATGTTGGACAAATAGTCAGGGATGATCTAGGTTTACTTGGTCCTGTCTCAGCCCAGGGGGCTAGACTAGATGACCTCTTGAAGTCCCTTCCAGCCCTACACTTCTATGATTCTATTACACCCATTATAAAAAGCTTTGTTTTACTGATATCTGTTTCATAAGCAAAATTAAAGTTTTTCCCCCACCACCACTCTGATCAGTTTCCCCTTCCCACCCAGACTACATGAAACTTCTACTATTTTGGTGAATTGCGTTTGCAACAAGCAGTTAACTGATCAAGAGAAGGACAGCTCACCAATTTTGGCAGCTGCTGGCACAGGTCTCAATGTTACAGTGATGGAATAAGGCATGACAAGAGGGATAAGAGAACACATTTACATCCCTTTGAAGGCCCACAGCCAACCAAGCAACATGTGCATGCAGAGATAGGATGGGGGCTCATCCCAGATGATTCTGACCCCCATTTCTATAAATATTACCTTTTAAAACTTTATCAGGATGGAAGACCTGCCTGTACTGGTGTAGACCAAAAGTGAAGGATGCTGGGGCTCTTCTCTAAACATACTGAAATACTCAATGCAATGTCCTGCATTTTAGAAGATCTATACAATCAAAAAGTGATTGTAAGAAAATCTGTGCATTATTGTTTTTCTACCCCCTTTCCCCGTGAGAAACGGAGGACTGGCAAACATCTGTTTATAGAAGAGGCAGCTAGAGCTTTCCCAGATCTAGCAATCCTCTCTTCTCTTTCCCCCGCCAGCCCCCGCCCCCCGGTGCTGCAGATCCACCCACAGGTAGGAAGGATGGGAGCCCTAGCAATTCCTCAATCCTGCTGCTTCCACTTCAGATTTCCTTCCCTGGTAATTCCTCTTCCTCCAAGAAAAGGAGAACATGGGGCTCATTCTTCTTTTAGCAGAGCGGGAGTCTTGCTCCTACGTACTCGCAAGCTTGGCTTCTCCAAATATCAATTTTGATTTTATGTTTTTTCTTCCACATCTGAGTTTTCAGACTTAAAAATAAAATGAACCAAACTTCTTTATGGAAAAATTTATATTTTACAGTTTTATTCTTAAGCAGAGTTAGAGAGCAAACAATTAACACTGTAGTTGAAAAGTGTGTTTACCCAAAGTTGCCAGAGCTAATAAATTATTCAACAGAAATACTGTGAATTAAAAATAAGGCAATAATCCTAAACAGTCCATTAAAGGTCTCCTCATCCCCAAAAGTACAGAACTGATAAAGCTAGTAGAAAATGTGTATTTATGACTTAGTTAAATCTGTTTCTGAAAACCCCTCATGGACAGGAGTGATGAAAAACAGGCTTCCATTCCTGATTAAACCTTAACACCTGCAGACAAAGGAATTACTAAAGCACGCAAGATGTAAAGACAATAATTCCGATCTTCAAGGGAACATTCAGTGTCTTAAATCCAAGAATGCTATGTCCATACACAATGGTCAGCGTGTGAATATGGGCAATACAAAGATGCCAAATCAACAGATTAGAATTTTTTCCATTCCATGTCATCAGGAGGATTTACGTCTACCTTCCTTTTCCCCACATCAGACCAGTTGGTGCTCAGAACAGTTCCTCCAGACTCCATCTGCAATACGGAAGAACATTTGTTTAGTCTGCTGAAGTTAGTTATAGCCAGTCATTTAAAATGATCCACATTTTTTATAGCAGATTAAGTTCTGCAAGACTAGAGTCTGCAGGAAACAATGCACTAACGCAGATACCCTTGGAATTCTCCAGAACTTCTCAAACCCTTCCCTATATACTATGTGCATTTATGATTATATTAAATGAAGATGACTTGATCTAGACATAGGATGTGCACATGATTTTTGTATCAATCTTTGCATATTCTGCACATAAGACTTCTGACATTAAAATTTAATAAAGCAGTAATTTCTGTCGTCATATGTCCACTTTTGATGTGATTAAGGCAAATAAGTACTGACACTGCTTCAATATACAGTAGCTTCTAATGGTCCAATCATGCATTCTTGTGCACTCTAACTCCTATTTAAAAATTAGCAATTGACAGAAAAACGAGGAGGAGTCAGGTTCTCTCCTCTGGGGATCTTTTGACCAACCAGGAAGGGGCAAGTTGTTCCCACTGACATTAGTATAGGCTCAGACAAAAAAATAAGGAAGGATGGAGAGCAATCTTTGTGCTCCAAGTCTAAGCTCACCACTCAGAATTAACACTATGGAGAAATGCAACTCTTCCATATGCCAGTACATAAAAATGCTATCATACCAACATCACTGGATAATTTGTTTTCTTACTCAGTAGGGGCTGAGTTTTCAACTGCTAGAGATTCATATATATAAGTTCTTGTGCATTCATGCATTTTACCACAATTGCAGGTGCAAACAGAGAGATGTCTAAATATTTATTTGCCTCTGATTACCGTATTTGCATATGCAAATAGCATGGCCCACAAAATTTGGCCTCAAGGTTTTTTTTTAAATTTTAGTTATTTACTTTATAGCATTAACAAATATGTAAGGATAGATTGAAGTCTTACGAAGGATTTGTTCATGGCACGTTTCACTTCATCTGTACCATCTGAATAGATTTGCTGAAAGAGTTTATTTAAAGCGGCGTCCCCCTCTAATTTTTCATTCTTTTCTTCTTCTTTGATCTCAACCACCAATTTATCCCAGTTCCTTGTATAATGAGAGGATGATGGATATAGGTGTGTGGAGTCTGGAAATAACATTTGCAGTAAGTTAAATCAGCGTTTTTGGCAACATTTACAGCATGAAATAATTAACCCCACCCAGAATTGAGCAAAAAGTACCATGGATCTGTAAGTACAGATCTTGTCAGACAAGTCTGATTGCTTTTTTGGACAGAATTTTAAAGCTAACAAATGAAGGGAATTGCAGGAGGTGGATTTTTCTGGTGGATCATCTGATACAGCACAATATCCTATCTTTTAAAATTCAGTCTGATTGGGTTGAATAGGAGCCATGTTTAAGGATTAAAATTGGCTGAAGAACATGAAAATGATGAACTGGCAATGTATCCAAGTGTCACAAGGTAAGTGTCAGAGCCAGTGTTATTCAAGATCTTAGGATCTGATCCAATGACCAGTGAAGTCATTGGGAGTTCTTCCATTCAATGGGTGTTGGATCACAGCCTTAATGATCTCTAGAAGACTAAGTAATGGTCACATTAAAATATCATGCAATTCATACTAAAAATCAGGAGGCATTGCAAACATCAGGGAGAGCAGGCAAAAAAGGAACCTAGCAAGGCTGAAAACATGGGGAGAAATGAAGATCATCTTGAAAAGTTATCTGAAGCAAAATGCAGAGGGAGGGAGAAACCAGGAAAGCAGTAAAGCTGAAAAGCTCTATATGATATAAACAGAGAAGTTGAGCTTGCACTGAAAGTGACAGCAAAAAAAAAGTTAATGCAATTTTGGGCTACATATGCAGAACCATCACAGGGACAACCATTGCTCTACAAATCTGAGACTACAAACAGAATAATTTTTTTAGGTCTGGGTGCCTCAATAACAAAAATATGGAGGTAAATCAGAAGGAAGAAGATGAACACGACACCAGGAACAGATTAGGCAGCTATAGAGACTTATTTATAAGGAAACATTAATGAGTGCAATATGTAGCTTGGCTAAGCAATGATGGGAGTGGAGGAGAGCAGAGCATACCAGACATGTACAGATGACAACTGTGAAAATGAAAGGGGAGAGGCATTTTAGATGGTACAAGGGGGTATAAGTAATGAGCTGAAATTAAAGGAAAATTAAGCCAAGTATCAGGAAAATCTTTTGATGTATGTGAGTGCTATTGAACTAAAATTTTCTCCAAGAGATACAAGCCTCTCTCAATGCAACAAAGGAGAATACAACTTAACTAGGCAGCCCAATCAAACAATAAGCTCCCAGAGAAACCCAGATGACAAGCACGCATCCTGAATAATCCCCTCAGGTAGATGAAAGCCACGAGCAGAGTGAACAGCTGAATTCTTAGGGCTTTACTACCAACCAGAATCCATTCCCACTACACATGAAGTTCATGAAATTAGAGTATCAGAATTACATGTTTACATTTACTCTAGGTAAACCTATTGCTACAATATTTCATATGTATAAGATGTTCTATGTAATTGGGAAGAATGTTAATAGGACAATATGTATAGTTGCATTAAATGCTACATGAGGTCAAAAACAAACCTGATGTGTATTGTTTTAGCTTCGGAGAATCTCCCTTCCCTTCCAGCTTCTCCCATCTTATAGCCTCTGGCTTCTTCATTTTTATCTCAATCTATAGAACATACAAGATGTATAAAGACCAAAATCTATAATTCCAGATCACAATAAATAGCTTTGCAGATTAAAGTAGGCTAGGCTGCAGGACAGTCAGAGGTTGCAGATATTAATTTATGACTAAAAAAACTCAAATCTATGCCATCCAGTTACACAAAAGTTAACCTACGCATAATTTTATTACACTGATTCTCCTCCCTTTTTACTCCCTATTGTTTATTATTCACACGAGTCTTGTTTCAAATTAAGATCGTAAACTCATAGGGCAAGGACTGCATCTTTCTGCATGTCAGTACAGTATCTAACACAATGAATCCCCATACTTAGAGCCTTTGAGCACTATAGCAATACAAGTTATACATAAGAACTAAATGCAACTTTTACATCAACAGGGCTTCAGAATCAGAATTCAGTAGCTTACCTCAAACTTCTCATATTTAAAGGTTTAGTAGTTGAAGCACAATACATAATTACAGACTACGCGATAGCCTGAAGCTATTAACAGTTTTCAGAAGACATTAAAAACTCTATAATAGTCTTAGCTGGTTTAGTGGATAAATAAAAACCTAGTCTTTAAGACTGTAGGGGGAGAAAATGTCTGGTATTCATTCCAAATTTGGCAGTGAGCGTGGACACACACGGTAAATGCAATCTAAAACAGCTCTCTAAACAGCCATATATTTATCTGCTGCACCTTCTAAGCCCTCTACTTTGAAACAGCCATATTCAGATGCCTTCTCATATTTGTTAAACTTGTATTTTTGCTTTGCAACTTTGTAACTCAATAGCCAATGGGAATATCCAAAACAGATACTGACTTCTGTAGCATTTAGGAAAATTGTATTTATACTTAAGACAAACTTCACCTCAAAACAGAATTATACTGTTCACTTACAAGAATACAGTTAGTACGATGCTATAGTACCTTAAATTGTGTCTTATTAATTATTAAAAATTCCCAATTTTGTCTGATCAGAATACGTAGCTTTACCTAAAGCCACTATAACCTGGGGATCCCTGCAGACCTAAGAACAAAGAGACCTTTGTAAAATGCTAGCCCCGGAGCTCCTAGCAATAAGCTGCTTAAACACCATCACGCTGATCAGAAATTTGAACTTCTATTTCACCCATTCATCAAATCAGCTGCAAGTAAGCAATAATTTAAGATGGTTTTTAAAACAGGAAGTAAACTCACAGTCATTTGTTCAATGCCTAGGTTTCTGCTTTGAAGTCCAGCGTATTCAAAGCTGTATGTTGGGTTTTAAAATGCATGAAATATTCAATTATCCCTGCATTTTCTTTGGGAGGGTTGTACATCATTCCCCTTTCCTACATGAGTTTACATAGAGATTTACTTTGTTTACCAACAACCTGGAAAAGTGAAACAAAACATGGAACTTTAGTGGTAAGTGATGAGAACGCCTCCAAAAGAGGCAAGGAAGGATTTCAACAAATGTGTTTTAACATATTCTCAGGTCTAAGAAGATCAGCCCAAAGCAAAACAATGCTTCCTCCTCCACCATATACTCTGATCCCAAGTGCTGTTCGTAAGTGCAGGAACACATTGCCTCAACAGCTTCTTATTACGTCACCTCCTCCCACCAAGTCAATATTCAGAAAACTTAGTACATTATCTCCCTCTATTCTTGTTATTTTGGAGTGTTCAGTCCCCTTACTGCAGCAGTTTCTGAAAAATATTTAATCAGTTTCTTTTGAAATATTTTGAAAACATTTCTTTTGAAACTTTTTCCTTTCTAAAAACGAAGTCACTTGCTATTGCTGCTGTCTGCATTTCTAGCAGTAAAGCCTGCAAAATGAAACAATTTAGAAATGTTTAGTAAGTAACATTAGTCTTCGTAATCAAACAAGGCTATTTTAAACTTAGCTGGTGTCACTCCTGATCAGAACAGGTTCCTGCTTCTGCACCACCTTACACAGAAACCAATCTTCAGTTTTGAAGAGACGGAAGAGAGAAAGGAGCTCGCCACAGAAGAACTAGAAGTCTCTGAAGCACTTAGGTGAATCAGCACCTCTTTTTAAGCATTGCAGGCCCTAGCAAAGAATTCTGGTACATCTGTCACAACTGAATTCTACTTTCTGAAAAGGGGGCAGAACTAAACTTCGATTCTAGAAGCCTGGTGTTGTGTGTGGGGCCCAAGAGTAGTACAAACTAATATTCTACATAAATCTTAAACAGTAGCACCACATTTTGTATTGTATCCCTCCAACATATAACTAGTATTAGATCTGCTTTTTAAAAATTATTATTTTACAATAATATGCACTGACCTCTACCCCGATATAATGCGACCCGATATAACACAAATTCGGATATAACGTGGTAAAGCAGTGCTCCGGGGGGGCAGGGCTGCGCACTCCGGTGGATCAAAGCAAGTTCAATATAACACGGTTTCACCTATAACGCGATAAGATTTTTTGGCTCCCGAGGACAGCGTTATATCGAGGTAGAGGTATATATGTAACAGCTAGGTATTAAGCGATATTTGCATGCAAAGTAAATTTTTTCCCCCCTGATCAACATGCTAGATCCTGTGCTAAATGAAACATTTAGCTGGATTCCGTAGTCCCAAACTGTTTCCCCCCTTTAACATTAAACTACATTTGCTCTCTGCTGGCCCAATTACTTACATGATTCAAGTCCTTTTGAACTTGAATGCACTGTTCATTTGTTCTGCCTCCAAATTTAGGAACTACACATTGAAGATATTTCCCAGACCCATGTCCAAATACTTGAGGTGTCTGAATGAAGGTCCCCTACTTCCTCCTTCCACAAAATATTGACCACTGGTATACTCTATAAAACTTTCCAACCACTTTTATGGCAATCTTTACCTTCTGCTCTTAGAAAAAGTCTTTCCCCCCCTTCTTCCATGCCTCTAAATTAGGATTTCCAAAGAGTCTGACAAGGTTACTAAATCATTAAGTGTTTTACAACATATCAATGGATTCTCTTTAATAGCTAAGGGTGTCTCAGTTACAGGACTAAGAACAGTCAGTCACCCTTCCAGCTGCTTAACCTGTCATTCATGAAGAGAAGTCTGTACTTGAGTCTAACCTGAGTGTGAAAAAACAATGGTGAAATTCATGGGGGGAAGTGTCAAATTAAAAAAGTTATGGGGGAAATGGAGGAATGGGGGGATGTCAGGGAATGTCCATGATCTATGCCAATATGACCAATATGACTAGCCTTCAGTAAAAGTCTACAATAGTTCTAAGTAAGATTTGGAAAGCAGATAACAGAAGTGTCACTAAAAACAGACTCATCACACTTGCCAGTTTTCAGACATTAAAATTCACTAATCTATAGTTTTGTGATTAGTTTTCAGATAACTGTATTTAGAGCTCCATGTAAGCCATGGAGAGATAAAAAGGCTTCTATGCTGCCAGGTGCAGCTAGTCACACTACCTCAAAGAATGGCTCAAATGTCAATTAATACATTTGAAGTGCTCCTTACCCTCCAAGCTTTCATAATACTGGATTGGGTAAAGTGAGCAAAAAGTTTTCCGTCTAGTGATATTAGAACAGACTAAACCAGTCATTCAACTCCCTGCTTCTTCAGCTGTGCAGAACCTGATTACATCATCATTCTACATCCTTCCCTTTTCCATTTACACCCCTCTGCACAGCCTGTGAAAAGACAGTGGCCCTTCCTCTCACACTACAAATAATGGCTCTCCATCCTTATTGCTAAACCTTTGTCCGTGCACTAAGCATTTCACCTTGATGGTTGCAGACACCTCTGATAGGAATGGGGACTGGAGGGTGGGTGAGATAAGAAACCTATTTAATTGAACCCTTCACTGTCTTCATCTTTCTTTATATTTCAGATTCCCTGATAGCTTGTCAATGTTGGTTTGTGCTTTAATTTACTGAGGCTAAGTCTACACTTAAAAGGCTGTAGGGGCATAGCAGAAAAAGCCTTCCCATCAATGTAGTAAATCCACCTCCCCGAGAGGTGGTAGTTAGATCAACAGAAGAATTCCTACCACTATGTATATGTGGATTTAGGTTAGCTTAACTATGTCACTCAGGGGTGTGGATTTTTCACACCTCAATGACATAACCGGGTCAGTCTAATTTTTTAGTGTAGAAAATAAGATCACCTTGAGCTCCTCACGTCTTCCTTTACTTGTCAAGTGTTATGCATGACTGTGCCACTATACAATTGATATTGTAGAACACCATTCCATTAACTCACGTTAGCCTGTGGCCTGTTTGTTTGCCTCGACTGTCCGGCAGATTTAGATCCATATTATCAAATTTTTGTTGTTGGCCTTTAGAGTTTAACTTTTGTTCTTATTTTTGAGACCTGATTCAGCCCGTAACAGAATAAGTGACTAATGTATGGCTAATCACCACTACTATTTGTACAATCTAAGTACAAATTTGTACAATTTGCCTAATTAGTTCCATTGCACAGAATTACCCAATTAGATATTTGTACAGGAGGCCATTAATTTGAGCTAAAACTTTACTTCTAACAATTATGTTTACACTCAAGAGTAGGATACCTTTTAAATTAGGTACATACACTTTCTTCTAATTATTATTTTTTAAACCGAAGCGCTTTCTCTTTCCAGCATACATCGACATCATGGATTCCTTCTGAAGGTCTTGCCTGCCCATCACAGTACTCTCCCCATGCTTCAGGAAAATGCAAATCAAGCTTTACTGTTTTTGCTGCTCCACTGATACTGGTATTTGTTTGTAATGTTTTTGCTAGTTCTTATTACACTTCCCTCTACTGCAAATGGCCCTGAACCAGAGTCCTATTATATGACAATTATCCCTGAAAGGCGGTTTACAAAACAATTCCTAACACATACGATGCAGCCTTCTTAATCTTTAAATCATTTCAATAACAGCAGCTGACTAAAATAAGGACAGATGAAAACATCTGAACGAGAGTAGTGATAACATGGTTAAACCTTGACTCAGGGCTGGTCTATACTTAGCCGCTAGTTCGGCGGCTGGAA